AGATTATCCCATGCAAAGTTTGTTATACACTCGCTGTGCATTTGAATGGCTTTATAGCACTATAATATATACTTATTTTTACTAAGTGCTCCAGCTATGGTTAATTGTGTGTTCCAGGGGCTGACTTTAACTCCAGAGAGCAGGCAGGCTGTAAACTTTTACTCTGATGTAAAACTTGGCAGCAATTTGTACCCCTGTGGTAGAGAAAACATTATGTTGAGAAATTCTGGCATGCCAGACAAAATTATGGACTTTGACACCGAGATTAAGCCTGTGTTTCAGTTCTTAAGTGCCCAGATTTCCACTGAGCTCAGCCAGGGATCCAAACCCACAAGCACTTCTATAAGGACATATATTTGAAAGGCATTAATTATGTTTTTAAAAGGCAATTCTGGTGCAGCGCCAACAGAAGACGTGAGTGGCTGTGGATGCACAGCACTGGGATAAATCCTGGAAGGTCTTAGGGAATCCAAGTAACATTCCAAAAGCTGAAAAATCTTCTAGTCAGAGGTCAGCACTGCTCCAGTTTCCATACTCTGCTGTATGTGATTGGCCTGTGTGGGATCTACCAATATAGTCAAGGGATAGAGAAATGTCAGAACGGATTCTTTCATTTGGGTGATGAAGTGCCCGCTCTGCCTGCCAGCATGCAGGGCTCAATAAAAGCAGACAGGTCTTCAAAAAATAGCAGCATAAATAGATGAACTCTTTAAAGTAATACAAGTTCTGTCATCTGGAGGTGAAATATAGACCTAAGTGCCCGCTGAAGTAAAGGCTGACCGCACGTTCCACAGAGAAGTGCTCAAAGTTTTCTCAGAGTGTCTCGGGCTGAGCAATGTTTTAACTACAGCTCTCCTTGCCACAACAGACAGAATGAAAGCATTTGAAGTTAAATCCATTTTTCAAAAGAAGAAAACAAAGCATCCATAAAGAAACAAAGGCCTATCACGGGATGAGGTCTCTAGATAGCCACTGTTTGCAGGGAAGTTGCAATTAGCTGTGCAATGGAGAAGGTGAATTTAGTTGTATTTCAACAGCATTTATAATGACTTCAGCAGCTAAAATGCTGATAGGTACGTGCAGGGGGTTGGTTTCAAGATTTTCTTGTGAGACACAAGGTCAGGATTCCTGTGGTCTCCTGTCATATTTAATTCATATCCTCTGGCCTTCTTCACCACATTTATTGAATTACAGGAATAAAATTCAACGAACCAAAAACAAAAGAAGAGAGGACACGGCACATCCTGATTTCTTTTATGTCCCTCCTGCACAACTGAGTTCAGTGGGCTTGCAGAAGAGCATCTTGGAGCAGGATTTGGAAGGAGGGGGAGGTACAAGTCAGTAAAACCCCTCTCACCATCCCTCTAATTGCATCCAAGTAATTTATTGCAAGGAGCAACCATTTACATGTGGGAGTGAGGATCCAATTTCCACCAGTAAAGACTCTCCCTGTGTACTTTTTAAGGCTAATCTGTGCACTCCCTGTGTGTGTTTACCAGGCTCCTTCTTGCCACAAATGAGATGGCAGTAAATGGCTTTGCAAAACCACCCAGAAGAGCATCACTGGCAATTCATCACATCAGTGCTGAGAGGCAATACTTAAATATGCTAAAATACCAGCTCCAGGGAAGTGCCCTACTGGTGTGCTTGCAATGGTGATTCCCTGCAATCATCTCAGTTAAATTGGTCCAGCCTTTCTCCTCCCTTCACCAAAAGCACAGTGTTCCCAACAGGCCCGTGGTGGGGACTCTCCTGCTGGAGCAATGGGGAGCAGCTCTGTGATTTGGGAGAAGGAGATTTTCTTGTCTCCTCTGCTCCTATGATCCTATTTGCGTTGCCCTGAATGCTGCCTCCAAGAACTGGCTGGTTTGGGTTTAACTGTGGATCACTCAGATCTCTCAGCTATTTTTTCAGTCAAATCTACACCCGGTTCTGCTCTGTGGTTCAGACACCCCCAGAGTCAAAACAGACCATCCCCTGGTGTGAGCACAGTCACATCAGAACCTCACATAAACACCCTGTACCAATGCCCAATAACAGCTTTACAATGGTGTCATTTGGTTTTAGAGCCAAAAATGTGCAAATCTGGTTGTTGAGTCTGACCCAAAATAATCATCCAAAAAAAAAAAGAGAGAAAATGTTTTGAAATTCTATCCAAAACTGCAAGCTCACCACTATGTAGCTTTGGCATTTGAATTTTTGGAAATGTCACAGCTAATAAATAATGTATTTTTTTTTCTAAGCTACAAGGTACATTTTTATTTTACAACTTGAATCTGCTTAACTTCCAAAAATTAAATGCTCTGCTCACATCCACATCAACCTATGGGACGGCTGCCTTTCCACTTAATACATTTAATAAAGGTGACCAGATGCTTTGTGATTTTAATGGCTTGTTCTGCATCCCAACAAAATGTCCCTGTTTTGGCTGTGAGAGCAGATGATTCATCCTGAAACCTAGCCCAGCTGCCCTGACACAGGGCACAGATAAAAACACACCATCTGTGCTGGGGAGTGGGATGGAGGAGTGCTTTGGAGGAGTGCTTTGTCAGGAAAACACCGTCCTTCCTTGGGCACTGTGTATTCCAGGCATCCAGTACTCTCAAAATCCTATGGGTGCAACCTCTCTGCCTTTGCAGTTCAATTTTGCAGTTATATCCCATCTCCCATCACATACTCTTCCTCAGAAACCCCTCAGCCTGCTCTGCTCTGTAAGATCTGCAGATCAAACATTTCTGCAAACCGTAAGATGTTGCTCCCGGTTTTATTCTTTCCAATCACACGGCAAAATTCCTGCCCGTGTGGCTGCATCAGCCAAGCCAGAAAAAGCAAGAGGGAGGGATTCATTTATGGCTCTTCTGACTAATGAGCTCTGCCCAGCTCTGCATGAGCACCACTCCACGGTGAGCTCTGCCAGGGGACACATCCTGCACCCAGGGGTCACTGTGCCACCGCTCCCAGACTTGATGAATCCAAGGGCAAAATTCTACCCACAGGCAAAGCTCCTGCTGCCTCAGCGAGAGCCAGGCAGGAATATCTGAAGGGAAAGTCAGGCTTGGAGTGTGTCATTGAAGGGTTCTGGCCCCACAGCATCTCCCACCTCCCCTGCAGGCAGCACCTTCTCCCTGCCCAGGAGCATTCCCGGTGGGACGCTCCGGGGTGGGAAGCAAAGGTTCCTGTCCAGTTTTCTGTGCAGCCTGTGTTCTGCAGCACTTGAAAGAACCACTGCAGCTCAAGTCATCTGGCATGCATACGAATGACAAATATGCTTCAGAGGCAATAAATTAGCAATTTCAAGGCTTTACTTCCCCTCCTGGACTAATTGCCAGAGATTATAGTATATTATGTGAGAGCAATGATACTAATGCCTAAATATGCTTCAGTGATTATAGAGCTATCCTCAATAACCAAGCTGTTTAAATGTCAATGCAAGAAAGCTCTTTATTACGAGATTAAATATTGTTTTGAAGCAATGCAATAGGAACTTCCCAGGCTTCCTGCCTGCAAAAATGCTGCCTTGGGGCAATATATATTGGACAAGGTATGTTTTTTGAAAATGTGGGCAGTAAAGGGTCCCAAAATACTTTTGTGCTGCAAACTCGAACAGCATTCCTGATAAGAAGGAGGATCTTGGCATCTTTTATTTTGTATTTGTTACTAACACGCTCCCACCTTCATCTTTCCTCCACTTGTCTATCACCACTGTACAGAGAAGATAAATCCTTGTTTTCTGTCAGTGTGAGTTGGGAATCAAACCTTAAAGACCTTTCCTTCTTTTTTTTTCCCACCTCTAAGTACCAGTATCTTGTACAGATACTTCTGAGTCCTGCCCCTCACACCTAAATAAATCTCTTTATACCTGGCATTGAGAGAACCCCTGGAAATCAGATGGAACCTCCAACTTTCAGGTTCAGCTGTTGACATGAAGCAGAGAACAAAAGTGTCTTTAAGCCATGACTCCAACTGCACAGCTCTGGAGATGCCTGTTGGTGATCACAACCTCAGGTGTGGATTTAGAAGGAAAGAAGGCTAAAAAGGCTTTAACATCCCACTGATCTCATACAGGACCCACCCACTATGGATCTTGTCACACAGTTGTGCTGCCTGTCCCTTGATTTCTAATAAACTTGGTAATTATAATTCATAATAATATAGAAAATGCATAGATAGGCCTGTGGGGACAGATCACATAAAATTAAGGACACAGAAAGACAACTGCTCATGAATTTTGGTGGAATTCTCTTTTCAAAGTAATTTTTTTCCTTTAGGAAGCATTGTTTCTTAAACACAGCCTGCACTTCTCCTCCATGGTGTGCTCCTGAAGTGAAGAGGGGCTTCATATCTGGATGACCAGGGAACTTATTAGAGAGGATTCCATTCTGCCCAGCTGTAGCAGGACTGGACACCTGGATCCACATCCTGATACTTTCTCCTGCGACCTGGCAATTGTTAATTCTGAATTTTTGATGTTTCATCTTGGCTGGTTTCTTCAGCCATTTTATATCTCACCTCTAAAACGCAGTGCTTGTTTACCTCAGGGTGTCTGAAGCTCTTTCTGATGCTCAGGTAAAAGACACCTGCCACACGGGCTCAGAAAAGACATAAATTGCTCTATTATTTGCAACACTTTAAAATATCTCCATCTATTAAAATCACACTGTGACTGACAAGGAACCTGCTGAAAGGCCAGGAGAATTCTTTCTCTGCTCTTCCAGGCAGACAATAACCTGACATCCTTTTTGTTACGTCTTGACTTAGAATATAGGATGGGAAACCACGTCTTTATTTTAGTGATACACTTAGAGCAGTGGTGTTAAGCACAGGACCAGAAGCAGTGAGTTGACACTGCTCAAAGGAGAATGATGTGGGATTATCACAGAACGGGGGACAAATACATGCATCGGCCACTTCTGGGCAAGTATCATTTGAAATCAGGTTAAAATCCTCTTTAACTGTGTGCAGAGAGTTCTGACCCCCCCAGCATTCCCCTCTGCACTCACCGTGTAGCCGGGGGCACAGGAGCAGGCCCCGGTGACGCTGTCACAGTCGGCCCCGTTGTGGCAGGGGCAGGCCAGGGCACAGCCCTCGCCGTACGAGCCCGGGGGACACGTCTCGTTGCAGTAGAGCCCAGCCCAGCCAGCCTTGCAGCTACACTCTCCAGACAGGGGGTGGCAGCTACAGAAGAGACAGACAGACAATGGTGAGGTGTGGACAGGAGGGGAAAATACAGCCCAGCACATCTAAGAACAGGGCAAACCTAAAGCTGTTTAGGATGGTGAACATCAGCAGCCGTGTAATGTAGGAAGGGAACAGGGAACATGGTGCTGAGCACCAGCCTGGCACAGCACCTCCAAACACCTGGGAACTGCCACAGCACTGGTCATTTTACACCTTGGAGTTCATGCTCTTCTACTCTCAAATCAATGTGACTTGGACGACTGCCATCAACTACGCCACAATCAATCCATGGGCTGTAGGATATGTATGTGGTGGACTATCTGGCTGCAACACAGCCACTAGGGATGTTCAGGGTTAGGAGAAACTCCAGTGGATGGAGGAATGCAGTCAAGAGAGTTGTGAAGATAAACCTGAGTTCTGGGGCACAATACTCTATTCTGTTCTGAATATTCTATTCTGACTCCACCAGGGAGGTGGTGGAGTCACCACCATGCCTTGGAGGTGTCCAAAAAACACGTGGATGTGGCACCTGAGGACACAGCTTAGTGGTGAACATGGTGGTGGTGCTGAGTTGATGGTTGGACTTGATGATCTTCAAGGTCTTTTCCAACCTAAATGATCCTATTCCATTCCATTCTATTCCATCCCATCCCATTCCACTGTCAGTTGTGTTTCAGGAGTGCCAGCTCAGCAGAACTTTTCGGCAGGCACGGGTAGAAAGGAAAATGCTTTGGAAGGGAAAAACCTCCTCAGAAGAGGAGTTTTGCAGGGAATATTCAATCACAGTGCCCAGAACTGATCACCACCTGAAGCCTTGGGATTTATCTGGGGCAGGAGCCACCAGGAGCCCTGGCACTGAACTGAGGACGAGCAGGGAAATGAGTCAAGTTCTTTATGCTGAATAATGAGCAACATTAATCCTCTGGCTTTCATTTCCATGCAGCCAATTCCACACCACGTGGAGAGAAGAGGAGAAAGGAGAATTGAGCCCAAAAGACCGGACAATGTCTGGTCCTTCTGGATCTGTGGGTGGAAGACTCACTCTTTGCTCCTCCCACCATGAAACAGTTTATCTTTATTCAGCATTTTTCCTTCTACCAGGTTTCCTTAGGGCACTTCTTTCCCACATCAGGAGAGCCAAGCTGAGGCTGTGGTACCATAATGGCTCTGCCCAGCCCTCAGTGAGGGAGATGAGAAACAATATTTGTACAAATCCCATTTTCTTTATCATTCTCAGAACAAGAAGGATGGACTTCTGCAAGGTGGCACCTCTCTGTGGACCTGTCTCCTAGGTTTTTTGCCTCACAGAAACGATTCATTTTCCTTTATAATTATTTATTGCCACAGTTTAAGGTTGTAGACATGACTGAATGGGTTTCTTTACACCTATAAAATTAATATTGTATATGTTAATTTTCAAGGTAACCTCATAAAATGTAATTTCCAAGTATGTTTCAGGCAATTACTGGTAGGAGAGGTTAGTCATATACTGTTGTGACTAAGAAGGATCAAATTCTGTAAGTGTCACATGTTTTATCATAAATAGCGTTTTACTGACTAATTAAAACAATTAATCAGCTTAACAAACTACTATCCATGAAATTCTTCTGACAAAGCGGTCCCTGAAATTATGGTTGTTCACAAAGCACCTCTTAACATTCAGATGAAAATAATAAAAGCCCATTTTTTCCCCCTCTGTGTCCATTAATCATTACCTAATAGGAGCAGAAAGCTCAACATTAAAGGAGTGTTTTAACGTGGATTTTGTGTTTCTCTGTTTCCACTACTACTGCATGTATCATATGCTTCCATGAGAACTGCATCTGTTGGCTAAATTAAATCTTTCAAAGGTAATGTATGATCAGGGCAGCTGGAATCAGTCTATGACAATTCAATTGAAAATACTACACTCGGGAAGAGCTTTTACTCCAAGGTTGGCTCCTTCATCAACATGGACAGCTCTTTTGCATGGGATGCAAGCTCTGTACCCAGGACTAAAAATCCTCCTGACAGGTACTAAAATAAGAATCAAAAAGCAAACAGGCTTTGCAGAAGAATCTGCAGGAGATGGGGGGGCTTTGACTCCAAACCAAGGGCTAGTAGAAGGTTGAGACCACATTCAGCCCCACTAAAGCCCTGTCCACTCTTTCATGGGACTGTGAGCCAGGAAAATCCTGAGCTGATGTTTGGGTCCCTCCATCCATACCATGTTCCCGTTGCAGCAAGGACAATTCTGTCACCAGCCTGAGCAGATCAGGGTTTTGTTTCTCTCCTGAGTCAAAAGCACTTGTTTGGCAATTGAGGTGCCTGATGCAGCGTTAACTTGAGCAGGGCTGAGACTGAGATGCTTTTCCAAACTGCAGAAAGCAGCTGTTCCCTCCCCAGTCCTGCCAGGGAATCTTGGCCATGTAACTCACTCTTTCTGCTTCATCTTTCTCATTTCTAAAGTGATGCCTTTCTTCCTTTGGAAACCCTTTTAAGATCTGCAGCTGATATCACTAAACAGTTTTTATATCAGTTCTTTTTTTTTTAATCTGGGAGGTATGAACTATTCCAGTAATTAAAGTGAGTAGAGTTACATAGTAAATATATTGCAGCTTATGATACAGTGTAAGTCTGGATGTATGCGTGTGTTAGGAATGTTTCTCTTCTGTTGGCATTCTGTACAACTTCATTCTGGTCAAAATATGTACCCAGACACATAACATAGTTCAGAAATTCATCTATCATCCATCCAACCATCCGTGCATCCAGACTGCCCAGTGATCTAAATGCTCTTTGGACTGAGGTTGGAAAGCTTGAGGCAGAATAAAGCTTGAATAGGAAGTACAGCTAGAAATTTGTATAAATATTTCCAGAATTCCTCCCTTCCTGCTCTGAAGGCACCTGTCAAAGCCAGGAGTCCCTGGGACGTTTTGCCAGTACAGGTCACAGTGTATGGGGGGCATTTCTTGTGCCCCCAATAAACTGAAATCAATGAACACAAAGGATTCCTCTAGAGGAGGATCACTGAATGGGTGGGGGAGAGAATGGGAGGGTTCCAGAAGGATCCCAAAGGCAAACCCACTAACACCTGCCTTCCAACCCTTGCTGGGAGCAGGAAGGGAACCTTCCACACTTCCAGAACTTTGGCAGTGCTGTACAATAGTAGTTTGCATTGAATCTTAACAACTTGCATTTCTTCAAGTCTCCTGCAGCACAGGAAGGAAGAGTGTAGAGAAAACCCAGGGTGAACACAGGCAGCCAAGTGTTCCTGGGGCTCCAGGCCAAGCTGAGGTGGGAATGGAGCTGTCCACTGGCTGAGAAGAAAAGCGTTCCAGGGCTCCTCCTGCACTTTGGAAGCCTCTGTATGATCCCTTCTGAGCCACATTTACAGCAATAAAAGATTTATTTGTAAGAATTTTACTACCTGAACTGAAAAACACAAAGGCATTTTTGACCTTTAAGTTTTTTAAGCATCTAATTTTGAAGAAATTGGAGGAAAACACGTAACTTTCTTAAGGCAAATTGGAAAAAGAAATGCTTTAGACAGCACAGTCTGTTCCAAACTCTGAATTTGTTCTCCACACATCTTTCAGCCAAAACAACTTCTTCCCAGAGAATTTTCTGACTTTCTGTTTATACATTAGCACCAGTCATCTCATCTTCATTAGCAACAGCCCTAATCCTTATTTAACAGTATTTTCTGTCTCTTGGTGTCCATACTACATTCAGTTTTCCTTACTAAAATGCCTCTTGCTTTAAAGAAGTGGCCACAATGAGGCTGCAGGGCCACTCCTTCAGTCCAGCACGTCTTCAAAGCCAGTCTCATGCAGCACATTATCCACTCAGGTCAAGGCAAAACTTCACACAAACTCCGTGGGGTTTGGTCCTTCCAAACCTGTCAGTGCTGAGGCAGGAATTAGAGCCTCTGAAGATCTACTTTGTCACAGTGCCTTCCTTCCCTTCTTGTGTCTGTGACCTTGGAAAGACATTCCCAAAGGCACATGGCTCCACACCCTGGCTCCACAGCAGTGTTCAAGACGGCTGGGTGGCCAAGACTATTCCAGCTGTTCATTTTCGTCCCTGCTTTAAAGACCAAGCCAGGATTATTCCTTTCCAAAACTGTAGGCTGTCTCAACATGGGCTTTTTGAAGAGGAGGATTTTTTACAGGTGTATCCTTTCCTGTGGAAGGACAGTCCAAGTCACCAACATGTTCTAAATCTCCTTTTCTAAATCTCAGTCGAGGGGTTGTTCAAACGTCCCGCACAAAGTGCCTTTCACTGTGCTCTGATGCAGAAATTATTGGATGATGTTCTTCAACCTTTACCATGCTGGAGGTTAGACTGGATGATCACACTGATCTCTTCAGACATTAAAACAGATAGATCTATGAAAGTGGAAAAGCTGATTGTGTACTTCTTAATGTTCCTCCTCAACCTGCTCCTCAAAGCCCCCAGAACTTTCTGTTCCAGTCAACTCTCCAATAACCAGATGAAATGAGTCAAAACCGGGGACAGGAGCTTCCCTCACCTTCTACAAGTATTTATTTAATTATCCTACACACCTGAGGACCACAACAAGCAGCCAACAGCTCAAACTGCTTCTGGGGAAAATAGATGGCTGTCAGTAAATGAACCACTTTGGAAGACCCCAGTTCCAGTAAGGATAAACACTCAGGGAGGAACGGGAGGAGGAGGGTGGGAAGAGGAGTGCCCTGTATGGGACTGGTTAAACAATGAGCAAAAAGATTTGTTCAGAACGTGGATTGCCTTTGGAAAAGGTCATTTTCCATCAGCTCAGCAACTGACAGCACTCCTGGAGCTCACTGAAAAGTGGAAAGCCCAAATCCCATGGATGAATGAAAGAACATTTGCAGATCTACAGCTTGCTGATATCTCTTTGTTCCATAACAGCAGTGATAAGATGTAGGAAAAAAGGGAGATTTTATCAATGGAGAGACTAGACTCATTTATTAAGGAACCAGAGATACCATCTCAGCAGAGGATGCTGCAAGGGAGGCTGATGGAGCACTGATGGAAGGGAAGGAATAAAATGTACCCATCAGGCAGCAACCAGGAACAGGGTGTGTAGGAATGACCACATGCCCAGAAAAGAGCTGGGAGAGGATTCAATCCTTCACCTTTCTGAGCTCTCTCTCAAACCTGAGGCCTCCTCTTTCCTCACAGCTGGATGGTGCCAGTCTCTTCTTTCAGGAAAGACCCTCTGGCAAACACTCAGAGTACCCCTCTGAGTAACACAGGATGAATTCTTGCACCCTCAAACCCACCTAAAATACTCTTACTGAATTGAGCACTAAGCTGAGAAACATCAGCCAAGCTCAGCCTTGCCCACGGCCTGCAGTCCTTCCACTCTGTTTACACCTTTATGGGAATATGGGCTCACAGGCAGGTTCCTGCAGGCTCAGGAGGGGTGAAGACACAGTGTCAGCTACTGTCCATGAGCATATTCCCACCCTCCAGCACATCTGAAGAACAGTTTACCCTGAGGAGCAATTCAGGTTGTGTTTACCCCAGGCTGGAGTCATGCACAGTGCCAGGTGCTGCAGTGTTTGACACGCAGGGATTTACACCTCAGCTCCCTCTGCAGTAACTCCTGAGACATCCCACATCCTCAGCACAACACAGCACTAACCTTTTGTGTAAAATGTGCAGCTCATGCCTTAGGGATGTTATTTTTGCAATGATTTCATGATACACAACATAATCTGAAGCGATGGAAGCCTGTTGTACAGGCTTTGGATCCTGGTTGTCAAACCCAGTAGTGCTGCAGCTTTCTTGCTCTATGGGACTTGTATCACCACAATTACAAGTTTTTAAATAATCCATTGTGAGCTCTGACTTTCAGTTAAACAAAGCCTCACCACTCACAGCTGAATTCACAAAGAAAATCACCTGTTTACTCCCAAGACTGAGACAAACAGGGTCTATCTCGAGCACACAGACAGATTTGCCTGAAGTGTTTGTGTGTGTGTGAGTGTGAGTGTGCACACAAATTAGGAGCTGTTGCTTGCATCCATAATTGGGGGTGTTTATATTTCAGCAGGCAGCAAGATCCAAGGCAGGTTTGTCATCATCTGCAGGACAGTCAGGTCCCCACCTGTCTGGTTGGAAATTGAGGAATGTCTGTACCAAGGGCATGTTTGCTCGGGCATCAATTATCCCACCTCCCTCTGAAGCACACACAACCCTAAATTGGCTCTGCCTGCTGAACAGGAATGGGCACAAAAGGGGGGGAATGGAGTGGGAGTCGAGGGGCTCAGCATGGAGCAGGTGAGGAATGTGGCACTCAGGTCCATCAGACAGCGCAGGCCGGCGGGGTTTGGCTGTCCAGGCTCCTTTACTGCAGGGGAGGGAGGGAGGAATCTCCAAACAGCAATTCCAGCAGTCAGTAAACAAGGCAGGGAGTAACAAAAGGTAACAAAGAGGATAATAGGGAAGAGTCTAAAATTCTTTCTTTTTTGTTTTTCCAAGGTTTGGAAAACTTATTCAAGGCTGCAACGGGAAAGTCAATTCAAGGTGCTCAAGTGGCTCTGGCTTTTAGAAATGAGAACCTCAAGAATAAGATCCTAAAAAAGGCAAAAAAAGGGAATAAGACATCAAAACCCTACCTTTTAAGCGAGGCTGATTCCACTGTAGGTACAGTTCCCTGGTATTTATTTTCCTGAATATTTCCCACACGCACACAGTGAGTGAGGAGCAGAAATAGGCTCACATGAGGAGTCTGTTTTGACAATGTCGACTGTGTTACAGTTCCACAGACTGACTCAGGGATATTGATTTCAGTCTATTTATACATCTGCCTCAAGTGTTTGCAACAGGGTAATTTGCCACGAGACATAAACTGAAGCAAATTAGGTTTCATTTTGAAAGTCCCCTTGCTGTCTGTAGATCTAACAAGAAAACCCATGGCATAAAAAAAAAGCCAAAATGATGGATTTGAGTAAACATATCTCTATTTTTAAAACTTCAGTGGGTTATTATACACACATATGGGCATCACCTGGTGGTCCTTATGCCTCCAAGACTTTAGTTACAGGATAAAGCTGTGTGTCAGGTTGTTTCAGATGTTACCAGAGCAGTTAACAGATCTGTGCTCAGTAGATGGCTGGACTGAGGCTTATGGTTACAAACCTGAGGTCATTTAAATCCAAGCTCTGCAATCCAGAGGAACTGTCTATGCTTGTACTTAAAACTACAGAGAAAAAGGCAGTGTGTGCACTTAATTGAATTCTTCCCAATGCTTTTATTTGACCACTCCCTGCACTGCAATATTACATGATGTACATACCTGAGGGTGTTGGTAATATTGCAAGGACATCTCTTGTTGCATTTGAGGCCATAAAACCCTTCTGGACACATCCTTTCTTGGCAGTAAATCCCTTTAAAGCCGGGGTCACAGATGCAGGCTCCGTTGACGTGGTAGCACTTGGCCCCGTTCTGGCAGTCGCAGGTTTGTGAGCACTGGAAGCCGTATGTCCCGATGGGACACTCCTCCTGGCACCTGCAGGGACACAGGGGACAGGGCAGCCAGTCAGAGCTGCAGCCTTCTGCACAGGAATGTCTGTGTTAATGAACTAAATACAAAATCACTGCTTTTTAGTTGTCATACACTGTGAAGCGATGGTCTCGTCGGGGTGATGTGATATCCCGGGCATGGAAAGGGCTGTTACCTGAAACTGCATTAATCTCTGCCCAATTAGAGCTGCAACATTTGCATTACTTAATATTACCTTCGTTCACAAAGTGCATTCTTCCCTCCTGCACCTTGACAATTCCATTCACCAACCATAAGAAACTGATGTGGAATAAATGATTAAAAGAACCCCTCGCCTGTTTGCTTTCTCTTTATCACAGAAGGACTGTGCACCTTCCTTGGAAGCACATGATCCTCCTAGTGATGCTGAGGGTTCAAAGGGAATGTGGTCGAAGCAATACTGAGCAAAGTTTCTCCAGCAATGTCCAGTTTTACTTGCCCCCTTGGCTGTCATTGCATCAGCTTTATACCAACAAGGAGAAAACAAACTCCTTTGTCTTTTGTGTGTGTTCTGAGTAACTAAAGCTTAAATTTACTTTTCTTCTCCTATTCCAGGGCTGCTCAGCAGCATAAAATCCCAATAAAAATCACTTTCATGCTCCTTAGTGAAGAATCTTCTTCAAAATTGCTGTTTTTAATATTTGATGCACCCAAAAATGGAACCTGCAAACACTCTACACAGATTGCTTTGAATTGCACCTTCCATCCACTGTTTTAAGTATTTCCCTACTGGATACATTCTCATATCTGCCAAAAAGTCTGTCTCCTTGTCCTACACAACCAATTTAAGAGTTCATACTATTTCCTATTTGGAAAAGCTCAGCCAAGGTCCTAAAGAAAGCAACTGATTCTGTGCTTGACATAATTCAGTGGTTTCGAAATTCTGCAATGAGTCAGGACTAGAGTTTACATGATCCACCGTGAAATACAGACAGGCCTTTTCAGTTCATAAAATCAGCAAAAGAAGGCAAGAAAAGCCCAATTCCCTTATCACATGGATGCCAGACATTGGAAATTGCCTATCAGCATTAATTTAAGCCTGAGCATTGATTAAAGTGTATACTGTAAACTCGGTGGATGGAGGCAATTGTTAAATGTCTTTCTGCAGGTCATTTCACAGCTGGCAGGTGAGAGTTAATATAATGATCAGTAATAAAAGATTAATGTGTGATGCAAGGCAGGCAAAACTGCAATGAACACAGGCAGTATATAAGAAGGGCATTACTTTTGCAGCTTCAGATTATCACGTTTTACTAAAAATAAACGAACACAGCGAAAGGCCCAGCCAGGGACTGAATTCCAGCAGCCACCACCACAGCTGCTGGTTACAAATCCAAGGTGAGGAGTTCATTTGAGACCCAGGGAGAGAGGAGTTTGTGACAAACAGGGAAAGAGCCTGGAGAATCCCCAGCAGCAGAACAAGCAAAGAAAGGAGGGGAGCAGTGGGGCTGGAACACTCCCAGCTAAGGAACTGCAGGAGGAGGGGACTGAGCTCCTCATTCCCCACTGCTGCACAGACCCTGCTCGTGAGGAGAGCTCTGCACTCAACGGGATGAACACTTAGTCAATAGTGCTCTGTATCACTCCATATTTATAGAAGATGAAGCATTACCTAGCAGGGAGAAAAGCATCTGGAAATGAAATATTGACGACCTAATCCATTTACATAATTAGCCTTTTTCTACTAACAATTTAACCAACTTATTTATTTGGAGATCAAGCAGCTCCCGCTAATGAATTTTATACAAAGAATACTAATAATGACTCCTCTGGAACACGAGAATAATCACAGCAGGAATTAGCTTTCTACTTAAACATCTTTCCTTTGCAACATATCAATCTAATGTGTCCATAGCACCATTAACAACCAGATACATTGTTCAATTAAATTACAAAATGAGCTGCTAAGCCCTAGTTATGTTTCTTGTTTAATTTACATTGCTTTCTGCCTATCTGGGGAGATTCGTATTATAATATCCACTGAACTTTAATATGTACTATAATTATTTGGGTTGGGATAGGATAATATGGCTGTCACCTGTAGAATTAATGGAAGCAATTTCACAAAATATTAAACAGAAGACAGCCTGCTTAACAGATGAACTTAGTACATGGACCTAGATTTTTTTCCATAATTTCTTTTTTGTTAAGGAATAATGCTGTAAAGTTTGTTAGGCTTTTCTCTTTCTTTGTTTTGAAACAGTGATCGTGTTTATGTAGGACAGACAAATATGAAAAGCCATCCAAAATACACCGACCAGGAGATAAGAGATCCAGCTACAAACACAACAACAGGAGAATAAATCTGCTCGTATAGTTCTAAAAAATGTGATATTTATTCTGTTAAGATTCAACCTTGAGATTTAGTGGCAAAATGGAAAACAAAGCTAAACCAGCATGTTCACTTTTCCTGTCAGGCACTGAATTGTGAGACACTCCATCCTCAGCTTCTAACTGTGCCTCTGCTATTATTCCTTTCCAGTTTGTAAAACATACATTTCCTTGACAGATCCAGTCATTTCTGTGAGCACAAAGCATCCTGCAGTTATTAACAGTGCCTGCCAATTTCCTGGAGATTTAGTGCAGTGCCACTCTTGGAAAACAGGTAGGGAACAAAAGTGTGGCAATTACACTCACACAGCCCTGTCTGACCATTTCATCTCCCCAGATATTTATCTAACTCTCTGTTATTATCTTCTGCACACCACGATGAACCGTAGCATTATACAGTACTTATTGATAATTTAAAGATGATAGTAGGCAAAGTGTATTTATATTTTTATTGCAGGTTATTCACAATATCAGTTATTATTAAGAAGATTTCTTCAGTGCCTTGTAAGACATGAAAGAAAGCACTGTTTTGTGGTGCAGCAGATTCTCCTGCTCTCCTTGCAATCGTGCTGTAACTCCCATGAGATCCAGAAAGTAAAACGAGAGTTTAAGCTAAACTGGAGCTGACTGATCTGTCCCATTGCCCACATGGGGTGAACACAAAGCCAAGGAAAGCAATTTAGACTCTTTAAAGACCATGTCCTTACTCCTGCCCTCATCAAATTTGCTCAGCAGAGCCCCCAGCCAGGTGAGGGCAGGTGAGTCTACTCAGGACAAACCAGAGGGGCACAGCTCCACTGGGATATAATGGGCCTGAAGTCTCCCTCCCTTTATAGAAGGGGGATTAAAGGCTGACAGATAAACCTGTTCTAACCTTCCAATAACCTGTCTGAAGGGTGGGAATTTCTGCACTTTTGCCCTGCTGCTGGCAGAGCTTTCTTACCTGCCTGTTTTAATCCTGTTCCCATTCATCCTTCCACACCCCTGCATTTCTGCTCTCCCACCTCTCCCTTTGGTGTCTTTTACTTCCCTGCTCCAGGATGAGGAAGGTGAGCCATTCCTTAGGGTTTTGCTTGGATACAGGTCCACAATGTGACCTTCCCTTGCTTCTTTTCCACCTCTCCCAACTGGCTGTGCCTTATTTTTTTCCCTCCCTGCTTCTGTCTTCCCAAGAAACATCTTTCTTTGGAGTCCAAATGTCTCCCACTTTTCTCCAGGCCCAGATCTGATGAGTCCACAGTCCCTTTGCTCAAGGACAATCCTTGTGAGCTCCTGCCAGCTCTGCCCTGAGGTGCCTCCTCTGCCCAGTCTCTCCCTGAGCCGCCTTCTCCAGCCCCTCTCGGAGGACAATCAGCAATAAAACCACCTTCCCATCTCCTTCCCTCACCCCCAAGGGGGATGTAGGCTGCTAGCTGGGAGATCCCAGCAGCTCCAGCACTGTTCATTCACCTACAGCCAGGAATCCATCAGGATGTGCAACAACCAAATGAGGAGACCTGGAACCAGAGGCTCTGTCAGTCTTCCCAAGCACGGCCAGTGCTGGGAACAGCTTGGGATTAAATTGTGGTCATCAGTATAAGGATCCAGGATGGGCAGTTGCTTCCTTTAGTGAAAAGTCTCCACAAGGAGAGAAAACAGTAATTCTCTGGTAGCCCCTGGCTGGAAGCACTGTCTCCAGGTGGAGGATGGGGAACAGAGTCACACCGATGTCTTCTCACTCAATTATTTAGAAGTGATTAGTTTTTCCACCACATCCAACCCCATAAAAATCCTGAGCCTCCTCCAATTATCACTGTCCATAACATGGACACAAGGAAGTTCCCTGTGTGATGGAAGGAGCAGCCTCCTGACCCCCCAGGGATAGGGGTTGGATGTTTTTGTGCTACAGAGACCTGCTGGTTACACAGCGAGGCAACAAAGGAGGAACTCCAACGAGCTTTGCTGCCTGAAAGCATAATTGTAGCATTGTCACTATATTGAGATGAGCTTCCTAAAGCTCATAAAAACAGGGAATACACAGGAGGAAGGGCTGTAGCACAGCACACTGGTGAGCTGTGCCCACCGAGGTGCCTCAGCCCAGCCCCCAGTGAGAGCTGCCCCGGCAGCTGCTGTAACTGCACCTCCCAACCTCTGGCAGGCAGGATTAGCTGGAGGGCTGAGCCAGCACGTGCTGCAATCCCTCATTGACTTTGCTGTGTAGTCATTTTGCTGAATCCATGACACCTTGGTAAAACAATATTATCATCTCCTCTGATCGATTCATGGGTGAAGGCTCTCGTTTATAAATTTTGAGGATTTATCACCTTTTGCTGGTGGCTGAGATGGATCAGTGCTACAGCAGCACAGAGGGCTGAAGGAGACATTAAACTTGCTGTGTTGCTTACTCTTGAGGATATTAATTTGTACAAAGATAGTTCATTTACATATCTTGTAAACATGTAATGCTCTCTATTAAATTTATCACTGTAAATATCTAAATTAAATTTAATCCATTAAATTTTAAAAGTTATATTAAAAACCCCCGTAAATGGAGAGCATTGCCAATAAAAAGTAATAACATTGCCACATTTATATTGCTTGAAGTGCTTCAGAAGGATGAACCTAATTGGAGCAATAGAAACATAACACCATTTTTCAGAAGGGAAGATTGTCCTAGAAGGGATATAAATATTGACAATCCCTGGTTAAAATGAAAGGCTTTTGGGGGGTTGGTTTTTACCTGTCTCCTATATAGCCAGCTGTGCAGATGCATTTTCCTGTCACGGGGTCACAGTGTCCTCCGTTGTGGCACGGACAGTCCTGGCTGCAGTTGATTCCAAAGGTTCCAGGAGGACATGGCTGTGCACACACCAGCCCCTGGTAATGTTGCAGAAAGAGCAATATTTCAGTCAACATTCATAATGCAATAAATTTCTATATGCAGCTGAGATTTTTATTGTCCTTCTTGCTAAACCTAGGAGTGAGGGTAGCAGCAATATTTTATCTGTATAAGATGTGCTAAAGACAGTCTGAAAACTCTGCTACCAGAGTAAATGCCTGTCTAACTCCAGGAGGGATTTTTCTCACCACTGTCCACTCCCTGATAATTCTCTTCTCTGGATCTCACTGTAAACTGCAGCTGAAGATTCACTGCCCCTTGTAAAGGTCCAGGAAAGTTTGGGAGAGGTTAAAAGCAAACAGAGAAGGCTACAAACCTTCTGGTATGTGCTGGTGGGGTTTTGTGAAATGGAGAGGCTGAAATGTTGTTGGACACACCCTGAGTAGAGAACATTTGGGAAGAAAGGGATTATTGGAAAGGTTGCGCTGGGAGGATGAAGTTGTGCGAGTTCTGATAGTCTGTGATCATCTCTCTTGTTCAGAAAGTCCCTCCTCAGCCAACCACAAAGAAGACCAAATACACCTGCTGGGGGAGTCCTGTACTACCCTTCAGATCCCACCTACTCCATTCCCTCTGCTCCCATCCAGCCCCCACACTCAGCACAGAATGGCACCTGCCAGTGCCCTGTGTAAGCCGCGGAGGGGGCAGGATGGGAACAAGAGGTTGGGAGAGTTGCAGAAAGCCCCCAGGAATGACACAGAAGCATCACATCAGCAGTGCAGCAGCCTTTGGCCAGAAGAAGGGATTTTGCGGTGGAATATCTGCCTAATCCCTGAACATCAGCAGGATGCCTCATCCACCATCCTCCCAGCTCCTTATCCCCAGCCCCGGAGTCACATCTCAGTCCCTGCCCTGCCTCAACTCCACATCTTGCTGGTGACCTCCTTTCCCCATTTTATGCTCCCAGCCCTCTGCCCTCCTGCCTCTTTATTCCAGTCCTCCCCAAATCCTTGTTGCAGACTCCCTTTTAGTGCTCTCCTTCATCTGGACCCAAATCCCCATCTGGGAGTTGTTTCCTCCTTTCCCTCCCTGTTTCCCCACCCCCGAGAGTGAAGCACGGACAGACTGTCCCTGTTGGGCACCCTGGTACTCCTGCTCACGAGGAAAAGCAATTCCTGGGCAAGCCTTGCTCCAGCTGCTCAGCCCCAAGGCAGGGAATGCTCACTGCTGGCTGGGGTCATGTATTTGGAGAATTTACCTGCCAAACTCTGGTGGTTTCCCCTCTGGGTATCCCATAATGTCCCCTGCCAAGTATCGAAGCCTTACAAGGATTTCCCCAGACTTTCTTAGAAGTTGCATGAGTGTTGTTTTTTTTTCTTCTGGGAGCAAACATAAAGCCCAGGGCTGGGATCCAGCTGAGGAACTCCAGCCAAAACAAGGCTGGCAGTGCTGGGAGCTGAAGTTGTGGTCCTATAATGGAAAATGTTTGGCATCTGCAGCGAGTGGTGCTGCTGCCAGTGCCACCACAGTGCCCAGCGTGAGACAGAACCAGTGTTTGTCTGGCCCTGGGATTATTTGGTTTAATCTCTCAGAAGCCTTGTTTCCCTAAGCAAACCCTGAGGGCTCTGGGTTTTGAACAAAGCACATATTAGACACAATTTATACAAAATATAAACCAGGAATATAACGGCTGCTTTCACTCCTCGGGGCTGGGGAAGTTTAGCTGTGTCAACAACCCCAAAGCGGAGAGGTTGCTCTTCAATGTCACCATAAAACAGACACTTTGAGCCTTTCCCAAGCAGTGAGAGGTGGCTGCTTGGCTGTAAAACAGCCAGGCTGGCCTCAGTTCAAGAACTTTCAGATTACAGCGTTAAAACCCGGTGTCTCTGGACTTGAGTAATACACAACACTATATATCAGAAAACCTAAGTGTCCATTTATCTTGATAATAAATACTTTCTCCCTTCATGTCTCAAAAGGAACAGGATTTCTATCAGCAAATGATGAGAAAGCAATACTCTGGGATGCATCCCCCCAGAGCCAAGAGGATCTTCAGCGTAGTTTTTGCATTAATACGTACTCAGGGAATTCAAAACATCCCTCTCTGGAGGATCAAATGTCAGCCCAGCGTTTCCTGCTGCTTATACATCTAATCAGCAAAGTTCACCCCATCAGCACCTTTTTTAAGGCCCTGATTTCATCAGCTTCTGCTTTTGACATCGTTTGCTGTATTTTGTGGGACAGAAAAGATTTTTTTCTGCTCCATTTTCTCACATATCCCTATGTTTGAAAACCACCACAGAAAGAAAACCAGATAAAACCACAAATTATAGCTGTTTCATAAAGGCCAGATTCAATGAGAAAGAACTGATCAGCAGAATGTGTTTTATTAACATGGCACCACGATGGTCTGGGACCCAGCAGGGCGTGTTGCCAGTGACAAATGTTCTGTCATGCCAGCAAAGATTGCAGCTCTCCTGAGCACAGGGATCTAGTCCTTCGAAAGTGCTTCAGAGAAGCACTGTAAATGCTAAATTAACTTCTCTCCCCACTTCCTGAGAGTGCTTGGAGAATTTAATACAGCAAATGAGAAAGATGTATAGAATTAAACCTGTAAATTGTTAATGAGACCCTAAAGCAGCCTCCCACTGGCTCCCACAGCCACAAAGGCACACAAGTGGAAAAAGCCCAAAGTTGTGGGATGCTGGCAGCCACATTTTGTTGACTGGCTCAACAATATATGCTGTCAGCCACCATCCTCTTGGTGAAAAACCCTTGGGACAGCAAAATCCCACAGGACATCATCCATACAACTTGTTCTTCTGGGAGATTCTGCACTGGGTGGGAGGAAAGAAATCACAAGTCATGAAAGAACCAGGCTTTGGAGGTGGTACATCCAAGGAAGAAGCTCAAAACCCCAAAACTTCCTCCTATTCCACTCCCTGCCTCCCCCTGCATGTCCCACCAGGCCCCCAAGGGAGCTGAGCTCCTGTTAATAAGCCTGCCCAGGAAAGGATAAAAGTTGCAGCTCATCCAGCAGCAATAAAGTCCAAGTGGATTTGCACTTGCATAAATCCAGGGAGAATTCTCTCCTTTCAAAATGATGGTATATTCAGTACATACATGCAGTCTCAAGCCTCAAAATCAGCAAGTAAAATTCCTGGTGTCAGAGAAATCCTCAGTGTGAAGTAAAATGAATGCTGTCTAGCAATCACATCTCGCCTGCTCGTTCACAGCCCCCTCATGTCTCACTTCCCAAACCATTCCAACCACCAAGAGTTAAAAATATAGCATGAAAAAAAAACATATTTTATCCCTCTCTGTGTACTGAATTACCAGCTTTTCATTAAAACCCTGGAGAGACCCTTTATACTTAAAATCTCAACATTTACAAGCTGAGTGCTTTTACTTATAATTTCAGTTTCTTTCTGCAGAATACTTGATCTCTCTCTTCAATTTTCAGTTATGCTTGTTTCAGACATCAATTGTTAACTCCAGGGTTCCTCTGGGGACAGAGCAGCCAACAACATAGTTTTCAGAAAAGTCTCTCTGGGCTCCTAAAAATGCAAAGAAGAAACTCCAGGCTGTAAGAACTGGGCAGGAGTGGGCCAGGATACAACCAGAGCTGCTGTGCAGCCCTAGTGCTGTGGCTCTTTTTTATAGTCTCTGCTGCATCCTAAAAGACATGTAAAAATTCCTGTTCTATTCTGATATATTTATTGATGGTTTAACTTTGAAAAAGGAAACTCCTGATAAAACACAGTTCAGGAAGGGTACAGCAAACCAACTTGGATTCTGAGAAACCCTGGCATGCAGAAGAGGAGATGGAAAAAGTTGTACTTATGTTATTCACTTTACTGATCACTTCCTGGGGGAAGTGCCAGAACGGACTGATAGGCCCTCAAAAATACGTGAATTCCTTCCTTTAGCTCAAGGAAAGAACCTTTTCTGTGCCTCCACTGAAGGCCAGGTGAGGGTAAGGTGTCATATTCATATCAAAGCCAAGGTAGAGAAACTCTAACTCTCCAGTTAGAAAGAGATTTTCCATATGCAGCTTCCACCAAAAATTATGGGCAACAATGTTCTTCTCCCACGCTCTCCCAAGCCACCAGCTCCTCATGGTTGGCTCTTCTGAACTCAAAGCAGCTGTGATCAAATGGAGGCAGCATTTGAGGGATGGAAAGGAACTCCAGCAACTCTCTCACGTGTTCCAGCAGGTAGAAGGTCCCCAGCAGAAGCCACACACACATTTGTCTGATGATCTGCAGGGCCCTCCACGTAAAAATAAAAATTCAGAGCACTTGCACGCATTAAAATCCAGCCGGTTTGCCAAGGGACTAATTGTCAGATACAGGAAAAATGCCAGGAAATTTAGTACAGCTAAATGGTCCGAAGGCCTGTGAGACTTGGCAAACCCCAGGAGAGTTAATTATTGCATTATTGATAATGTTGAGGACTTTAAAAATGTTTGGCCTTGCTTTCTTGACACAGAGGATTAAAGGTTAGAGATTGTCTCTCTCCAGAGCAACCCCTGGTACAAGCAAATCTATGGCAATCAATGGGAATGATGCCTGAGGAAGGGCAGGACACTGAACTGACCTCTGTCCTGGGTTCAATCCTGCTCTGCTGACAGTCTGAGCCACTGAATTCTCCCTGATTCTCCCTTTCCCTCTCTCCTGAAGGGGAACAGGACAGTTTGTGCCTTTGACAATGTCAAGCTGAGCTTTGAGCTTTCTGTCCTGTGTGAGGGCAGTGTCCAAGGCTGCAGGGAATATTCCAAGGAACTGTAACCTGGAGACAATCCCTTTGTCTCTTAGTTTACTGCTGATTTTTAAACTTGATGATGGCAGATACCAGTCAGAGAACCCCAGAATCATTTAGGCTGGAAAAACCCTCTAAGGTCACTGAGTCCAACCAATGGCCAAGGACACCACTCTCCCGAGCACAGAGATCTAGTCCTTCAAAAGTGCTTCTGAGAAGCATTGTAAAGTCTAAATTAACTTCTCTCCCTACTTCCAAGGGCAAGGACACCACTAAACCATGTCTCCAAATGCCACATCTACATGTTTTTTGAACACTTCCAGGGATGTGCCAGGTCCCAGAATTGTGGCCTGTGCACACAAAGATGATCCCAGTTTCGGAATCGTTGGAGCCTGGTGACAAATAACAGCAGATACACATGACAGGCACTCAGGGAAGCATCAGCTGAGACAGTGAGCAATGAAATGATTTTTTAATCATGCTCCAAGCCCTCCAGGAGGCTGGGTGTGAGCGGTACCCACCGTCCATCCCGCGGGACAGGAGCACTCCCCGGTGATGTGGTGACAGACGCCCCCGTTCTGGCAGGGGCAGCGCAGCTCGCACTGGGCGCCGTGGCTGCCGGGGGGACACAGCTCCTCACAGCTTCGGGGGAGAGAAGGACAGAAAACAAAGAGATCAGCACAGGAAACAGCAAATGAGGAAAACCCACCCCACAGCTCATCAGGGGAGCCCTCGTGTGAACAGTGAAACCTCTGCGAGCCTCAGCTGGCACTGCCAGTTAGCCAAGATTCCTTTAATTTCTGTTTATGTGCCGTGGATCCAGCCCTGGAAGGCTGAAGCCTGTGTGTAACCTTTCTGCACATCCCAAACTCCACCCATCTCAACGGGACAACTCATAACCGTTAAACCAGCCCAGGAAAATATGAGTTGCAAGATGAAGCCTTCAATGTGAATTATGGGATGTGGCAATAAAAGAAACTGCAAATAGAATAAAAGGAGGGGATTAAAATGCTTGAAATTTCTCCAGTCGCTACTGAATGTTAACATTTGCAGTGTATAATGGACTGGCAAGGACTCAACATCATTTAAAGGCTATTTAAGCTCATTGAGTCTCTCTCAGTACTCGTGGGGAGGCAATGTAAAGCTAATCCCTGCAAAAAGAGTGTCTCCTACATTGGAGCTTTCAGCATCAAGGTTCTGAAACTACAGAGTGTTCTTCTCCTAATTGACTGTCCTCTGATGAGGATGTTCCTACCACATATCAGGGGCTGGCCCTGCTGAGAACTGACACACTGGTGTCAAGGAGAGCACTCCTAACAGTGTGCAGAGTCTTTAGCAGTGAGTGCTTCCACAGCTAAGGTCACAAGTCTATGAGGAAATCAGGTGCTAAATAAAATATTCAAAAGGTGTATCACTTATTTATGAGGGTTAACATTGTCTTTAGTTTTTATCTTCCCCTTCCTGCAAGTCAACAAATAATAATAGACTGCAAAAGTATTAAGTCACCTGTAATAGATCTCCAACCAAATTCAGTGACTGAATTCTCTTTTCCCCTTAAATAATTCTGAAAAACATAATTACTTCTGAAACTGCTGAAAGATCTCTAATGAGAACTGATGTTACACTGTGGGCAATTTTAAACAAGGAACTATTGCTTGCTGTCCTGAAATTAATATGCACATTTTGTGAATCCTACTGGTAAACTTTCCGTGTGGTGGATGGGGATTTAGCTACACGATTCTCGTTGAAGTTAATAGGAGTCACACAGCTAAATCCCTGCTCACTATGCTTAAAATCTACCCCCTAGATAGTAAGCTGATATAGTTAACAGCAATGCTTTCTCACTTAGATTGAAAGTCAAATAAATTGGGGATGGTTAAGTCTCATTTGATACTGCACTGGACTGCTAATGAGGAGAGAGTCCAGTTGCTTATAAAAACTCAGCTGTAATTTGGATTGTATTCACATTCTGAAATTAAGAACAGGTAGAGGTGTTGCGCAAGCTGGAAAATATAAAGGATTTTAAAGCTCATTTTAGCACTGTATTGTATTTCATTATGATATATAGTCCTGGAATGGTTTGGGTTGGAAGGGACCTTAAAGATGATCTGGTTTTATGGCCTGCCCTGGGCAGGGACACCTTTCACTAGCCCAGGTTGCTCCAAGCCCCACCCAACCTGGCCTTGGACACTTGCAGGGATGGGGCAACCAAACCTTCTCTGGGCAACCTGTGCCAGGGCCTCCCCACCCTCACAGGGAAGAATTTCTTCCCAATATCTCACCTTAAACCTGCCCTCTGGCACTTTAAAGCCTTTGTTATATCACTACACACCCTGTCCAGCTCTCCCGGAGCCCCTTTAGGTGCTGCAGACAGCTCTAACCAGCAGCAAAAAAGAGAGATTTCCTTTATTTAATCTCCATCCTACCACCTGATTTCTCCAAAGGCAAGTGCCAAACACGCCGTGCCCACTTTGCCAACCGCTCTCGGCACCGAAGGCGCCCGATCCAGGCGCGGAACCGCCCCCGCGGTGGCACTCACAAGACTCCGGTGTATCCGGGCGCGCAGTGGCACTCTCCGGTCTGGTGGTCGCAGGTGGCCCCGTGGTGGCACTGGCACTGGAGCTGGCAGGCCTTGCCGTAGGTGCCGGGCTCGCAGAGCTCCTCGCAGCGCCAGCCGCGGAACCCGTCGGCGCAGACACAGGCGCCCGTGATGGGGTTGCAGAGCGCGTCGTTCTGGCACTGGCAGCGGTTGCTGCAGTGGGGCCCCCAGTGCTCGCTGTCACAGCCTGCAAACACACACTGCAAACTTCACCCTCCTGGCGGGCACAGGGCAGCCCGAGCGTCCCCTCCCAGCCCCACCGACAGCAGAGTTGAGTGCCGGAACTTTCCGAAGCACCCCCAGACTTCCCAATGCCCAGCGACGGGTTCAGGGCACGAGGAGACGACAGCACGGCTGTGACGCTGAAATGTGAGGACTTCTTTAACACCCTTATTGGATCAGGACCGAAATCTTTTAATATCCTGTTTCTTAGTGCTCTTAGGTAGCTGGAAGGAGTGAATTTATAGCAGAATTAGAGGCAGAGGATCACATCCTGCCTGCAGCGTGGTTAATGGCAGGTGGCACTGCCAAGCAAATCCTGTCCACTTAATAATGTCATCAAACACAGTTGCTTTGTACTGTTCCCATAAGATAATAAATAAGATATTCTAAAGAAGGTTTTCTCCTTGGTGTTGGGGTTTTTTTGTCTGGTGGCATTTTTTTGGTGGTTTGTTGTTGTTTTGGTGGGGTGTTTTGTTGTTGTTTTGTGTGTGGGATGTTTGTTTGTTTGTTTTTAATTTAATTTTTTTGTGTTTTCTGGACTAAATAGATGGGAGGGAAGAAAATAACACTGGAGACAGGATGACCTGAGGCTGCCCAAGCTTAGGGATGAAGGTATGGAATGTGCATGCCAGGTAATTCCTATGTGAGTAACAGGAACACAGAAGGACCCCAAACCTTCTGGCCATTGACAGGGAGAGGAGGTTCCCTACAGAAGGCATTAAGGCACAGAGAGAACCCTTCATGTGACAGTCCTGCCCAATCCCTTCTCCTCTTTTTTGGAGGATGAGAGAGGGAAATCAGCATTACAGGAGCAGTTTGTCCCGAATTGTTACAGGAACAGCAACTGGCAAGCACCTGAGCTCCAGGTTTCCTCAGCAAACCATCAGCAGGAAAACAAGGATCTCATCCCTTTCCAGCTCCAGCTGGTTGTGCTCGGAGAGCTGGTTTCAATCACACCAACAACCCTGGTGCTCGTGTAAAACCCACTGCCAGGCAGGAGAGGGGAGAGTAATCCCAGCAACAGAGCTGGCTCCACAACCACTTTTGTTTGCAAACATGGAAACTAATCCCCAGGTGCCACGCGCTGCTTTTCAGGCCTGGATCTGTTTCCAGGATTAGTGAGGTAAATGTAAAGCTCACTTAAGCCTGATGCTTTTGTCCTGGAAAGCTCACAGCCCTCTCCTTCTACACTACACGGCTCTAAACCCACGCTGGAAAACAACATCTATCAGTTCCTTTTGGCAGTATTTTTATCCTTCATTTTGAGAAGAGGGATACTCCTTGGTCAGACACTCTGAGGATACCCAGCAGAGGAAGGAGACATTATTCCACCCACACTGCTGATTACAGTTTACAAACTCGTGTTTCTTGAGCAAGTGTTAAAGGCCAAAATAAACCCACAGAAGACAATTCCAGGGTCTCCAAAAGGATCTGCAGGGTCCTAGAGGATGCAGGTGCAGAGAGCTGGTTTCATGTCCTGCAGAAAGCAAATTCCTGTGCACAGTCCTGCTCGTGCCTCACATCACACAGTTTATTGCTTTGCCTCACTTCTCCCCCAGCTGCAAACAGGGATGATAGTTCCTCTCTAACACCACTGGGAGCCCAGCAAACAAAATCTTATTCTTTATAAGACTTAAATTATTACTGAGAATCTGTGGAAAGAGATGATCTATCTTTATTTCACACAGACACTTGCAAAGACTCTGTGAGCCTTCTGGGGAGGGAGCAAAGCTGCTGGAGCTGCTGGAGCTTCCCAGCAATTTCCATTCCAGAAACATTGATTTGTTTTCTGTAGAACTTGAACATCAAGGGATGCAGTTCTGCACCTCCACAAGGGTACAAATCCGAACTACACATGCACAGCTGAGGGCCCTTAGCATTGGGAAGTGGAATTCAGGGATCAAACTTCACCCTGCCTGCTTTGGAAACTTGATTCCTCCTGTACCACACCTCACATCAGAGCCCCAACTGCACATTGTGCCTTGTTCTGGGCTGGTACAATTCCAGCTGCAATTAATTTCCTTAATATGAATAAATAACACCAGAAGAGGTGATTCTATCCTTGCTCTTCCCTGTCTCAGGTGGGTGCTCCAACCATCAGATTTGTCTGCTGGGTTTTTGTTTTTCACTTTGAAGGAAAGTGAAGGAAAAAGAAAACCTCTATAGGAAGGGAAAACCATTTTTCATCATCAGTTCAAGCATCTTGTTTCACCTGTCCAGTGCCTCCCCCACCCACAGCTCCTTTTCTGTAAGTCCATTTTATTTGAACACATTTACTACTGACATTTGGTCACACACTTGCTTTCTCCATGTACCAAAGTTCACTCCACAATCCAGCCAAAGGGAAGAGCAAAGTGCTGAAGGAAAGAGCAGAAATTCCTCTCACTGGTTGGAAAATCATTAAAAAAAAAAAATCATTAAAAAAAAAGAAACCTGCAGTGACCAGAAAACCAGCTGCCAGATTTTTCCAAAGGCTTCTGAGTAAAGGCATCAGTGAGTGCATGTTGCAAAGCAGTGAGCCCAAGTGGTTTAAGTACCTCTGAAATAAAGCAGCTTGGCATACCAGATAGCTGCTAAGAATGTGAATTTCATGGGGATTTATTAAGGAGAGAACATAAAAATGAGGATTAAAGTACATCTGAAAGCTCAGGGAAGACAGAAAAAATAGAATTACCGGAAGATGAGGCTTGTGCAGTGTCATTGCCAATGCCTGACACAGCCTTTGCTTCTTTTCTGTTCCTAAAACTACTTGCAGGGATTGACTACAGTTCTCTAGATGGTTTGAAACCAGTCACAGTGTGTGTGTAAAACCAAGGTGAACACAGTGGATGTGTATAACCAAGGAGAACATCCTGCTGTCTCACTGGTGATGGGATCACACACACTCAGTGACAGGTTGGACTCCTCTAGATTTAAGTCTTTGCCTCAGATGGGAAATATTTCCTGCTTTCAGCCACCAGCTCAAGCCCTGTATTTGTCACACTGAGCAGGGCCATTTCATGCACTATCAATTCATCCAGTGCTGATTAACTGCAAAGGGAATTGAGTGGAAATCATTGGCAAGGTGTTAGTGTAAAACTTGTGATAATGAAATATCCCCCTCACCTGATTTTACACTGCCTTAACCTCACATGAAAATAAGATCTGTGTTGCTCAGAGTTTATCAATCCCTATTGGTTTTCTTCCCCTCTTTCCTTTAGGTCCCATATTGCAGTGACAGACTGAAGTTGGAAGTAAATTCTTTACCTGTGTCATTTCACTGGAACATGACGTGATATTTATATGATAACTCAGAGATCTGCACTGTGATGACTTCTGTGCCTTTACACAGGTAGCAGATACAGAGATGATAAGCTAAATCCAAGTCCTTATTCAGACAATTAACTCCACTGGGCTCAACAGGCTCACTCAAGTGTGAGACTATTCGAGTGTGAGACTGCTCGAGTGTGTAACCAGCTACAGCATTGGGGTCCAGCAGCTCCTACTAGAAAATTAAAAACCAGAAGAAACCAAAGACTTCAGCAACCAAGATGTACTTTTTCTATATCCACCAGTGGGGCAAATCCTGGCTGGTTGTGACAGTGACTCCAGTTTCTGAGATGAAGCAGGCTCAGAGCCACAGGATCCCGCTGCACTTCGGGATCGTCAGCACCTTCTCCCGTGGGCTTGGAGAGACCATCTTAAAACACAAGCCCAGCCTAGCACAGCCTAATCCTGCTCTTGTTGTGTGTTACCATAATAGAGATAAATAATAACAGCAACAACATGTGAACAGAGAGCTGATTAAAGCTTACACGAGCGCTCCACTCTAAATGTATATGCCATTAAAATGTCAAAATGATACAGAGACTTTAACTAGACCATCAATAAGGAAAGCAACCTGAGAGGGGGGATGTCAGGGAGGTACAGATGCTCCCCTTAGCTGTGTGTGGGGATGTCAGTCCTGTGAGGGATGAGCCTGAAATAGCCACTGTTCTCTCGGGAGATGCTACATTGAAGGGAGTTGCCATATTTCAGGTCACGTGCCCACATTCCCTGGCAAACGTGCAAACTTAGTCACTTCTTCACCTTCAAAAATAGGACTGGGGAATAATTGCCACCGATAAAAATGAATATAACTCTGTAAAGGATGATGCTGGGTGCCTAAGCATAATTACACTTGTCTGCATAGGGTATGACAGGGGAGGGATTCATCCTCCTGTGGAGAGACTGCTCAGTGCAGCACCAAGAGTTCTCCAGCTCATGCAGCACCAAGGGGTTTTCTCCTCTGGCCATCCCTACTCCCAGCCCAACCACAGTTCCTTCTTGAAGTGAGGGATAATTACTGCAGGCTCTGCATGTAGAATCATGGAATCATAGAATGATTAAGGTTGGAAAAGACCTCCAAGTCACCAAGTCCAACCTTTGACCCAACAGCCCCGTGCCCACCAAACCACATCCTGAAGTGCCACATCTGCTTGTTTTGTGAACCCTCCCAGGGATGGTGACCCCACCACTTCCCTGGGCAGCCTCTTCCAGTGCTTAACCCCTCTTTCAGTGAAGATGTTTTTCTGCTATTTCATCCTGTTTCCAGTTCTGTCCTGGGAAATAAAATACACAACCAGGACACGCTGGAAGTGCTGCTTCACTCCCAAAGGGCCGTTTATCCCTCTAGCAGTGATTAGGGAATTGCTGTGTCCTGGCTCCACAGAACCACCCAGTGCTTAGTGCAGCAGCACAAGTCAGGCACAATGCAGCAAACACACAAATGGCAGATAAATAAAAGGAGTCCCGAGGAAGGGATGACATTTATTGAGTGATTTATCCTGACAAGAGAGAGTCAAAAGTGCTATTCCAGAGCTTTTCCATCCCTGCACAGGAACACTGTTAATATGAAAACAGCATGTTTGCTCACAGCAGCACCTGAACCTGTGGTCTCAAGGTCTGTGTTTATTTTGTTCTCATCAGCATAAGCCTCCCTGGGTC